GAGATTATTATCCATTAAATGTCACCTCAGACAAACAGTTGTTTGGATATATTGTTTTCTTCAAAGATGCATATAAGTACTCTTTCTAGGTGGCCATCTAGGTGGCACATAAAGGACAAAATAGAGCAGAATACATGTAGTACTTGCTTAATTATGGTGATTGGGACCAGCAACTCCGTCGCTAATCAATGTGGTTGTAAAGCAGGATGTTGCCTGACCTTACAATGGCAGTTGCAGCAGTTCCATGAAGTGAATCCCGTGCAGTTGCAGTGTCCCACAGTCACATGATTGCCATTTGCAGCCTCCTGCTGGCTTCCCCATTGACTTTGCATGTTGGAAGCCAGCAGTGAAGGTCACAAATGGTGATCATGAGACCGTAGGATGCTGCAACATTGTAATTGTGAGCTGGTTGCCAAGCACCCAAATCACAATGACATGACCATTGGGGCCCTATGATGGATGCAAATATGAGGACCCATCGTAAGTCCCCCTCATTCAGTGCTGTCATAACATTGAACAATTGCTGAATGAGTGGTTGTTCAATGAGGACTACCTGTAATAGGTGCAATATTCAGAATACTAGAAGCCTACTTTATATTATTGTCATTCCTTTTAGGCTCTCTTCTTGTTTTTCATTGTCTGCATGTCTTCTTGTATATCTATATCTTGTGCTGAAGTATTGGCTGAGATCCTCAGTGTCATAATGTCACAGATCTGTAAAGCCTGCAGATATCTACTTATTATTATATTTGCAGTTTTCTAGGACAAAACATCACATTGCCTGTTATTTTCAAAAAATTTAGTGCAAGGTCAGCAACAGTAATACTTTGTAAAGAAAACATAAGCATAAAAATATATAATGTGGCATATAAAAAAGAAAACTAGGATGTAAAGATAAAATTCGTAGAGAAAAAAATAACCAAAATGTGCTTGCTTGGACCTCTGATTTCCCTGAATAAAATGCCTGTCTCTTCACATAATCTGTTTTTGGTTGTTTGTGTGTGCTACAATGTAAATCACTTTAAAACTGTTTTAGAGGTATCATGGTATGGCAGAACTAAAAAGGATCATGTATGAGATGCAGTGGTGTGGGAATGTTTTTGCTTTCTATCAGGGTTCTCCCCTCTCTGTTGAGTTTAGAAAATAAATTGAGGGGGCTATGAGAAGCAAGGTGTTACCAGCCCAAGACATTTGAGCCATTTCATAACCATGCTAAGTTGACTGCATTATCTCTGCATCAAGACCCGCCCAGAAAACGTGTGGACTCTCCAATGCTGAACAGACATGGGAAGCGGAGACCGGAGAGGAAATCCATGGAGGTCTTAAGTGTGACAGATGGAGGGTCCCCTGTTCCTGCACGCAGAGCAATTGAAATGGCACAGCATGGACAGAGGTAGGTGGTCCCAAAAACTGAACAACAAGAAGATTGTGCACGCTGTTGGCCTGAAGTATCAGAAACCACAGTAGCTGGTATAGTGGCTCAATCATTTTTACCTGCATCAGTCTAGGTTTTTTGCAAGAAAGAGAAATGAATCACAAGAAACGTCTTTGCTCGCTATTGTGTCTTCTTTCTTAATCTTTTGCTTTTAACAAGCATTCAAACCAGCGCTAGGGGGAAACTTGCAACAGAGATCTTGTAAAGGTTTCGTAGACTAGGAAAACGCAAACAAAATGGAAATACATTCATAATCCAGATCCCCTTTACAGTCCAGTATAGAATTAGGGTTAGGGTTTTTTACCTTCTGATGAAATATACCAGCCACACTGTTGTAGTGAAAATCAAATGGCAAAAAAAAAAAAAAGTTCCTAAAAGGCATACTTTCAGATAAGATATTTATGATCATCTTGGTTGTGTTTTGACTAGGATCACATTGCAGAAATAAAAGGAAATCTCATGTGGATATTTTACATAAAAGAGGCTCTATTTTTGAACATTTTTAAGCATTTATCTTTTGGTTCTTTGCAACATGAATTCATGGTCTCAAATATTACAGGAAGAGTGTTATTTTCTAGAAATTTAGTTCAGCCACTAAACAGAAAGTATGACTGCTCTTACAATTTCCAGAAATCTGTCACATGTAAATCTCTAGCCTGCAGAGCTCCCCAAGGTTTGCCTAGTTTGGTTCCTTGCTAAATATTGTGATTTTAATTCTAATGTACAGCAAATGGATATCAGAAAAGCAAGTGAATTCCTGAAGGAAAATATACAACTTTCTGCAGGAAAATGTGATGATGCAGTTGAGACCTATCTGCCACGATAGGTTAAACAGCAATGCTGAGCTATTATTCAGCTGTAACCATTGACAGCTTGTCTTAGCTCTAGACCATCCTGGGCATAGAAGATTTAGCATATCCCCAAATAATTCAGGATTGGCATATGAGATTTCAGAATTTAAATACCACCAGTTTGTTTTCTAAATTACCATTCTCTCTATCTGAATCAGGTACTTAAGAAGATAGACCTAGATAAGAGTAACCAACTAAGAAAGGAAATCTAAACTGGGAAGGGAATTTTTGCCAAATTCTAGGATTATTTTACATTTATCATAATATATTGGAATGACTTGTACAGTATCAGTTACCTTAACATTTTCAATTGTTAAGTGTCAACATTACAAAGTTGCATCTCTCACTAACCTGGGCCTTTTTTAACAAAATGATTTTTCTTTATCTATATACACTTATTTTAGTGCTGAAAAACATTGTAGTAGAAATTTGTGGGCTTACTCTGAGTTAGTGGGATCTTTTGTAAAGTCATGGTTTCTGAAACACTGTATAAAATGACATCACCATGAAATACAGTCAGGTTTTATGATGATATAACAGCTGGCAAGAGCTCTGATGCATGTGTGCAAAATGGGCAGGCAAGGCAAGAAAGTATAAATAAGGAATTTATAATTTCATGATGCAGTTGCACAGTAGCCTGTGCTTCTGTGCATTAGTTATGCCACTTCATCCTCAAGTAACAAACACAGCATGAACTGTGGGCAGTGTGTTCATCCACGCCGAGTATGAACTTGTTCATTAATACGAAGAAAATGAGAAGAAAACTTTTAAACATAGAGTATACTATGCAATTCCAAGTAAATGACTCTGTAAGTCATTTTGAAGGATATAGTGCTACTTTGAACAGCATTATTTTCGGAGTCTAGTTATGCTACCATTCCCCCAAATAATTTGGACACTGTAATACTGTGATCAAGGGAGCAGGGAGGGGGAGAACTCAAACAGAATTTTCACAGTCCTTACCAAACTACAACATGTAGGATTTATCGTTGGAAGCCACACCAGTTAAACTGACAGAAATGCATTTTGATCTATTTCTGGTATACATCAGTAAGTTGTTGTATAAGTAAATTGAAGAACATGAGAAGAGTTACCTCTCCTCCTAACTGGATACCCTTACAAAATCAGTGGAGACGATTCGTTAACAAATTCACTTCCAGCACCGTTTTCCTACTTTTATTTTGCTTCTTTGGTGTGAGCATCCATAGGTCGCAGTGAAACAAGACAATTATTAATAGCCTCTGTAAGGTGATTAAGCCTTACTTAGAAGTAGTCATGGAGAAACTACTATTTATTTTAGTGAAAAGCATGCCAAAAACCTAAAGTTGCCCACCAGCATAATTCTGTCTCCAATTTGCTCATGTCCATCTCTGCTTAAAATATATTGTTACCATGCATTGTCTTCCTGAGATTTATTAAACCAAGTATATGATGGTTTAGGCAGTTGCCATCCCAAGTGTCCTGTGAGGAGAAAATATTACTGATACCTTCTTTCAGCACTTTTAATATATCTGGCAGTTCATACATTCCGTGCCTCTTCCCTTTCTATTCATGATACCCAGGG